CATAGTCTTGCGTTCGTGTGCCGGCCATAATGATAGCGGATGAGCTGTAATGGCTTGGTATCTTTGCGTCAGAACTGATTGGGCTACTCGTTGCATGTGCGACGGTCTTGTCGTTTGCGTTGGAGCAGCCAAACGCTAGACTTCTGGACGCGGTGGCAGAATCGGAGATGAAACGTGGATGATATGGATGTGTTTTATCCATATTGCCATGATGTTGATTTGCTGTGGGTCTCACTCTACTGCGTTTTCTTGGTAGCGTATGTACCCAGCATCATGCGAAGATGATCGATGGGCGAAACAAATGCATTTCATCGCACCTTGTTGCGACAGCTAGTTGCGACATTCAGAAGTTTTTGGCTGCGCGAGTCGTGCTCGGCAGTTCTGCCGCGCGGGATACAAACTCTTGCACAAATCGTATCTGGCCTCCTCACATGACCTTGGTTTCAGTCGCAACGCAGTCATGCGTACAGCCACTGAGACCTCATGCATGTGGAGCATATCGGTAATGAACCAAGTATCGAGCTGGACGCAATTTCTTCCCACTTCCTCTATATGTATGGAGACGAATCCATGCGCAACCATATTCAAGTCGGTCGTGTCTCCATATATAGTGGAGCGCCAACAATTTACGCCGTCTCGCTGTCGTTCGGCTCGTCCACGTCGTCCAAATCGTTGGGCTGCATCGTGGCGTACACGCGCCTTCGCCAACATGGTGATCTCTGCTGGGCCACGTTGCAGGTGGTACCTGTAGATGGTCGGTTTGTCTTCGTTGAAGGCCGCGATTCGCTTGGCTTCGTCGCGGTTGAGCGCGTAGCTGATGATGCGGTCCTACAAAAAGCATGTACAACGCTTGGGTCATTGGACTATCGCACTTGGATGGGCACGTGGCGCTTGGGCGGGAACTTTTGCGCGACGTTTTGCACAAACTTGTGCCACATGCCGTCGGACGCAATGAGGTTCGGACGGCGGACGACGCTCTCGGGCGAGACGTCCGAGGGCACGAGCAGCGACGGCCCCAGCGGCACCTCGTCCTTTGACATCGGGACGTTCTCCTCGAGGAGCGAGGCCGTTTCGCCCGACCGGACAAACTCGAAGAGCGCGTACATCTGGTTCATCTGCGCCAAGTACGGCACCGTCGACTCGTGCAGCGGCGCCCCAAGCAGCGACTCGTGGTGCTATACAAACTACCATAATCTACTCGGAGGAAGAGCAACTGACCTCGTCGTAGTTGTAGTTGAGGTCGAGGCGCGAGAGAACCCACTTGACACGACGCAGCAGCCGCTGGTCGTCCTCGGCAGTCACTTGCATGTGCTCCTGCAGGACGCGCGCCTCCTTCGCAGCGGCCTCGGCGGCCTGGTCGTCGGCCGTTCGGGCGATGTGGAAGTGCACAACGTCGCTGAGCTCGCCGGCGAGAACGCTCTCTTGACTGTACAAGCGCTCGATGCGCTTGATGCTGCCGGGGTGGATGTCGCGGACGGCGTTGAGCAGGCTCTGCGTGCGCGCAATCTGCTGCTCCGCATTGTGCATGGCAAAGCTAGGCGCGCACTAAGAACGTAGCGAGCGACGGGGCTCAAGAGTACCGCGTGGCTTGGGTCTCAAGCACGAGCTTTTGGAGCTCGGCCTCTTTGGCCGCGAGCCGCGCCTGCTCGTCGGCGAGGGCGGTCTGGAGGTCGGTGATCATCGACTGGTACTGCAGCGCGTTGGCCTCGAGCGAGAGGCAGTACATCTTTTGCTGCTCGAGCGTCGAGATGAGCTGCACGCGGGTGTGAATGCCCTCGACATGGCCAAACATAGTTTGGTGTTTCCAGACGCGGAAAAACGAGTACGCCGTGTGCCGAGCTTGGCGGCGGTGGTACGCGCGGATCAAGTTGGCTTGGGACGTATGGCGCTGCTTGCGCCGGACGACGTAGAGCACCCACGCTTGGAACGGCACCTGTCCCAAAAGGCTAGGTGCACCCAACGTCTTGGATTCTGTTTGTTACCTGGAAGACGCGGTGGCAGTAGCTGCGCCACTCGTCGACGACCGTACCCCGAAGCGAGTGCTGGTACGCTGACCGCACGCGCCACACGAGCAAAATGTGCCGTAGCGACCTGCGCGCGGCCAGTTCAAAGCGCTTTTGCACCTGCAACAACGATACATCGGCATATTGATAGATTGATACAAAGTCAAGTACCGTCTTGAGGCGACGGTTGAGCTGGCCCCACGCGCGCAAATGCTTGGCGAGGACCGTCCGGCGGTAGTGGTATTCGATGCGGCGAATGTTGTAGTGCTGCGGAAACCGCTCAAACGTGCGCTTCTCGTTGAGCTTTTGAATTTCGCGCTCGAGTTGAAAGCTCCGAAAATGGGCGACCCACGCCGTCGCGACCTTGCGCACCATCGACGCCATGAAGTGCGCGTCGGCTTTGAGGAGGTTGGCGCGCAGCGGCAGCCAAACGCGGTCGCGCAAAAGCCGAAAGTACATGCGCTGCCTATGGTACACGGACCGCTCGCGGATGATGCGGATTGTGTCCTTCTGCAGCTCTTCCTTGACCATTTCCTGGGAAATGACGCGGTACCTAGCGTCGTCCATGAGGTATTATTGGCCCTCTCTTCGAAATGCCCACCGCTGGAGGAGCTCGAGACGCTCGCGGCACTTGGCGTACCGACCGCGGTACGCCTCGAGCACGTGCTTTCGACTGCGGGGCCCGATCGCGACCGCCTTCCAGCCGCGAAACATACTGACGCGCAGCGTCGCCATCTTGACCTGGTAGCGCGCTTCGACCTAATCGCGAAACGATGCAGTCGATGGGATGCAAAGGGCCCTACTTGCTGGTGGCGCTGGCGGCGGATTGGCCGCGTGAGCACCACGACGTCATGGAGCTGCTCGAGGAAGACGCCGAGCGTCCGAAGACGCGCGCGCTCCCGCATGGCGTCGATGGCCGCGTCCACACGGCACACGCGGAGCGAGAAGCGCGCGAGGCTGTCGACAAAGGCGCGCGCACACTTGTGGCGCCACCGACCGAGGAATCGCATTGCGCTGCGGTGTCGCTTCCGGACGAGGTACCCGCGGACGGCCGCGACCATGATCGTCGCTGCGTGGCTGCGCTTGTTCTCGATCGACGTGATGTCAAAGAAGACGCGGTCGAGCCGGTGCACGGTCGCATGCATCTCCTTGACGGCGTGCGTGACCTTGGCGGCCATCTTGGGGTCCGTTTCGGGGTGCGACAGCGGCCGCATCTGCGTCACGGCCGCGAGCTCCGCCTGGAACGGATCCTGCTCCAGCACGTGGTGATGGTCGCGCGCCGCCTCAAGCGTCTCCATGCGCTCGGCCAACGTGGCTAGCTGGTGCGAGAGCGCTTGCACACTCACGTCCCCAAAGGCCGAGTGCGGTGCGTCCAGCGTCGCGGGCGACAGCGATGGCGCCGTCGCGACATGTCGCCGGCGCGCCCGCGCCGGGCGGGCGCTGGCGGCCTGCGCTGTCGCTGGATGGGCATCTACGAGCGCACGCTGTAGTACGAGGTCGTGCCACGAGTTGCTTACGGGGCGTGAAGGTCTTGCGCGTCAAGACGACCTCCTCGATCGTCTTCTTGTTGGGCGGGAGCTTGGCGGGCCGAAGCACCATCGGAAATCCTCAACCGTCGCCCTGCCACTTAGCAAATACCTTATTCAGTACCGTTGACAGTACATATGGCACATATAGTTGCTAGATTCGGCATAATAGTACTGATCAAGCGAATGTATCCAGCACAACAACCAATCATAGACGCGGAAGTCCGATCCACAGGCCATCAAGAAATGCTTGTGGTGGCGTCGCAGGTGCTCCCTGCATCTATCCCGGTATCCGTAGTCTGCGCTTGGACATCGTCTCTAAGCAGTAGCTGCAAGATCTGCTGTCAATATACTTGAGCGCTGGACGTACAGTAGAGCTGCCACCCACTGCCGCATCGCACGCATGCCCGCTTTCTGCTGGTCGGTGACCAAGGCCGTGTAAGTGCAGACCATATTGTGGCAGTCGATCTCGACGAGGTGGCGCAAGTGTTGGCGGCTCAAGTGGCGCAGCGTCACCTTTTGCTGGCGGTGGGCTGCCTACCAGCTATACACTCGAGCAGCTCGCATCTCCGCAGCCCGCACCTCGAGAGCGATGCGCTGTCGAGAGACAAGCATGTCGCGGCGGGTCTCCCACAGTGGAGGCTCGTCGAGAGGCTTGTGCATCTCGTCGTCGACCTGCGCCTGGAGCCGTTCTTCGTACGCCGTGTGCTCGGCTCGAATACGCTTCTTTGCGCTCTCCAGTGCGTGGTTGATGTGGAAGCGCTCATGGTCGCTCCATGCTTGGTCCTTGACAGCGACACGACACTCTTCTGCGTCCATAGCTGGTCGCGTCTCGATAGAAGCGCAGTTATGCTCGGACGCAGATTGGTCACGCGTGTACAGGGCCATCGTTTGGACGCCTCGATCCGGCGGCTGCCTGCGCAACGTGAGGCTTTAGCGCGCTCGAGTCGGACGCACCTCTGGCAAAGACGGCGGTACTCTACATAGAGATCGTCCGCGACTTGGATTTGCTTGCACTGAAACGTGCTCCAGAGGGTTTGCAGCTGACGCATTGTCTCTTGCGCTTGCGCGCTTCGGTGCTGCTTCTCATCGTCCATCACAACAGCGTCGATTCGGGCAGCCACATGGCTCCACTCGAGCATCGTGGTCAAAGGTATCGGATTCAGAGACTTGCTGCACGCACTCTCGGCAGTATAAAGGATATTTGCTGCGAGCGATAAAGTCGGCCTCTTTCAGCAGCAGCTTCTGAAGCGGCTTGGAGGGCGGTAGCGGCGTCTCGGCCTACACCTACGGATGGCCAAAGTGACGCAAGACCGTTCGCGCACCTTGGTCTTGGCCGCGCGGTACTGGATTTCGTGCAGCGCTTGCTGATACTCCTCCTGCGATACGGCCCTCCGGGCGAGTGCTATGATATACCGACTACCTCGAGGTCGTCGCACGCAGCGAGGCAGCGTCGCCGCCATACGTCCGTCATGTTGAAACGGACGGCCGTCCAGAATTGTGCATGTCATGGTTATTATAGGTTACGGCGCAGCGTAGGGCTTGCAAGGACCAAGAGACTCTCTGCGATCGATAAGAGCGTTGGCGGCGTCTCGAGCTTGGCCTTCTTCGCGGGTCGCTCTTGCGGCGTCGGGAGTAGCAGTGGCGCCGCCTTTGGGAAGCGCGGTGAGATCTTGGCCAGCGCGAGCTTGCCGTCGTCGCCAAACAAGGACTTGGGCAGCGCGGGCACGAGCACCTTGACAGCGCGGCGCGTCGGATGCTCGTTGGCCATGGTGCGCACGTGGAGCTGCTGGCGATTCAAGAGCTTCGAGACGATGAGAAGGTCGACCTGCGTCTCGCGGATGTGCTCGAGACACATCTGCGTCTGCAGCGCGGGGACATACGCCGAGAAGACGAGCGCTTGCTGGAAGGCATCCAGCGCTTGGTTGAGGTAGATGGCTCGGTGGCTCTCTTGGCCGAGGAGCGACGCCGCCGTCGCGCGCATGGTTTGGCCGTGGCGCATGAGGTCGAGGAACTTGTTGACCTCGGGCGGGTCTTGGCGCCGACGCTTGGCGGCTACCTGGGTAGATGGCGTCAGCAGCCGCGAGGGCGAAGCCACCGACCGTACCTTGCTCATGGGGTTCCGGACCAACGAGTGTCGGTCGACCCTCTTCTTGGCAGTTCGAAGTTCATTTGCACCAATCCCAAGCTCGGATTCTAATTAAGCTTGCGATTTGTATGAGCGGTGCACCAACACTCTAGACAAAGAGTGATGGTGGAATACCTGTTTTCGTCAATTGTTAGCCATGTCACCATCCCGCTTTGACGATTGGCCAAAGGCCCGTGATTTCAGCCAATGGGCACGGCGCACGGAAGCATCCAAGAAGATCGGTGATGGAGGTAGAAGAGCCGCCCCCGAGACACAGTGGTTCGTTCCCGCCACCTCGTGGCACCATAATGAACCATGGACTCTACTAAAGCTGAACTAGGCTACTGCGTCGCCAATGGCTCGCGCTCTGGTGCGGAAGTGGGGCGAGCGAGCTTGCATTGACCAACATTCCCAAGCGTAGGGACGTCCAAAGGCAGGAAACGAACCAGAACTTAGCGGTCGTGTTGCATCGGAGAGCAATCTCGCACGTGCGATTCGTCAACTGTCGATACTTTGGCAACGCACTCCTAGTTGATTTCGCTTAAGCACTAACGAATTCGCTGTAGCAATCGATCAAACCGTGCTTGATGTTGAACACGGCGCAATGCGGCGCTTTGATTGGTGCACTTCGTTCGAATCTGACCAATGGCATGCGAGACAAAACGCACCCCACGTTCTGGAGCGACCCCTTTCCAAAGGCATTCACATAATATGTGAATTGGATGTCCCTTTTTGCGGCCAAGTGAATTCGTCGGTTTTTGCAGCGAAAGAACCCATGTTGAAAACTGGCGAATCGAAGCAAGCAAAAGTACCAGGAAAGTTATTCCTACAATCAGTGCACAACACGACTACTTGTCGCCGAGCGGAAGGTACTCGTCGGTCGAGAGCATCATGAGCAAATCCGAGTCGAGGAGCGAGTAGATGGGCGTGATCTCTGCGAGGACAAAGAGCGCAACGAGGAGCATCGACTGCATCGAGACCGTGTCCTTCTCCGTGTTGAACCAACCCTAATCCATCTTGTATTGACTAATCCAACTCAGTACTAGTAGTACCTTTGTGAACGTCAGCAGAATCATGACGCTGTACAGAATGCGCCCGAGGCTCCACACAAGCGCGACGCGCCCGACCTTGGAGAGCTTGGCCTTGGCGTGCACCGACTTGTACGGAAAGCCCGAGAGCGTCACCGAGAGGTACATCCACGTGCCAAGGATGATTGCAGGCAGCGCCAAGTCGGAAGCGGCGACCGTGTCTACGTCCCTCATCAGCACAAGACGGCAACCAGGGCGTACAAAAGATGAGCAACGGAATCAAAGCGAGGCGCGTGCCGGCGTCGTTGTCAAAGATCCCGGCGATCGCGCCATCTTCCTTGAGGAAGAGAAGCCCGTAGAGCACGACCTGCGTGAGGTACAGCCCGCCGTTGAAGATGAGGTAGAAAACCATCCACTTGCGGTGGAACTGGTCGGCCGAGAACCAGTGGCGCCGCGACGACTGGAACGTCTCGGCCCAGAGCAGCACGACGAGGAGGTACGCCGACACGAAGAGGTAGTCGGGAAGGTTGAAGAGGACGGCGACCACCTACCACAGCGTGTGGGACGTCGTACTGGCGACGCATGTACCTTGTTGTAGAACGAGAGGTCCGACTCTTCTGCGTGCGGCGTGTCGTCCGGGACCTGGAAGCGCCCGCTCAGCGGCGACAAGGACGCATCCGTGTGCTGAAAATCAAGGAAGCACAGCGTCGTGAACGTCGCCGTGCGGAAGAGACACCCGAGCGAGATGGTCATGAGAAGAAGCTGCGTCGTGCGGGACATGGACGCATTCTTGTGGCGCGTCGCGTAGAGCTTGGAGACGCTGATGAACGTCATGAGCATGTAGCAGAGCGCTAGGAAGTAGGAGGCCATGGCCAGCCCCGAGAGAAAGAGCATCGCCATCGTATCCGCCCGTCCTTCGACCTTTCTGCGGCTGCGCCCAATGGCCTTGCGCCGATTTTCAAGGAGCCAATGGCATCGCGTCGATCAAATCACTTGTTTTTGTATGCGGTCGGCAGCTTTTCGAAGAAGCCGCCGAACACGCCGGAGGACCCTCGGCGGGACGCTGCGGGTGGACTGAGTGAGTAGCTCTGCACCGCTCCGGCGGTGCCTCATGTTACCATTCTTACAGTGTCGACGCGGCCTCGTTACGCCGTCTGCGGCCGACGTCGATTGACGTTTGGGTGCGAGCCACTTGGTTTGTGCAGCACTGGGTGGTGGGATTACTACACCTTAAATACGACTAGGCTAGCTATTACATGGCTTCAACGCATATCCGATCTATGCGGTGCTGCCTTGAAAGGACGCGAGATACGTCAAGTCCAATGGCGCCTCAGTCTGGCGGCGGGGCCGGTGGTACTGTGGCGTGAGCCAGCCGCTTTCACACGAGAGGCGCCGGGGCGTCCGGTGCACGGGCGGCGACTTGGTGTCGGACTCGACGGTGGACGCTTCGGACTCGAGCAGCGTCTCCCGGGTGGGCACCTTGGCGCGTGCCTTTGCGCCCGCGCACGCCAGACAAATTGCAACCCCGGACGCGCGGCTGCCAATGTCTTTGCACCCGACGCAGAGCGGCTTGGCGCACCCGACGCACGCGACAAAGTTGTTGGCGCGCTCAAAGCTCGACGGCTTGGTGAGGCACATGGAGCAGCGCTCAAAGAGCTTCTTGAGCGACGCGCGGACGACCGTGTCGAGGTGCTTGACGCTCTGTGCGCGGCGCGACGTCATGCGCGACCCAATGACCGTCGACACGCTCTTCCAGTCGACGTCGACCACCGAGCTCGCGTGGAGCACGAGCGGGTCGCTCGACTCGACGACAACGATGCCCCACGTCCGGACGACAGCACGGACATAGCTGGCGTTGGGCGTCGTAGTCGGGAACTCGTGCGACGTGAGGTAACGCGCGACGCCGCGCCGGCCATTCGTGTCCGTGAACGCCTTGAAGCACTCAATGTAGGTCACGTCGCGGTCGCGCATGAAGGGCACCGGCGCCTTGAAGATGCCGTAGCGCAGCTCGACATGCAAATGGTCGCTCTCGACTACATGCAGGAGCGTCGACTTGTCCACGTGCACGTACGACGCCGCGGCGGCCGCGTCGTTGGGCGACGCGAGGAGGCGGCCGACGTCGTCGAGCGGTGTCGGGAGGCGCAGTTGGCAGCGGCAGGCCTCGTAGGTGTTGGAGACAGGCGGCTTGCCGCTTCCGGTCGCCCACGAAATGAGCTCGTTGATCCCTTGGCCCGCGGTCGCAAGAATTGCGCTCTTGTCTACCACGGCTGCCATCGTCCAAGTAAAATCCAAAATGGCAACAAGGCGTTCGATATCTGTCGCAGACGGCGTGTAATCTTGAACGCGATGGGCCGCACGTACTGTAGTATCGGGTGGTGTATCCCCCATCGCTCGCGTTGCTGGGACAGCCGTGGGACGCCTGCGCGTCAGGTCGTGGACTTATCGAGAGCCGTAGCGCTACGAGCGCTGAAGCCAACGCTGCGCTCGCCGCGGGCGGCGGTGGACCGTGGGACACCAGTGGCGCATGAAAATCGACAGGAAAGGGTTGCACAGCTGGAGAAGCCGCGGCAAGCGTGGCGTCAGCACGACTGCTGACTACCATGACCGATCGCGAGATACCGGCGTGTATCTCGGCAGCAACCTCACATGCTCACAAGGTACCGGGTACTTGGAGATCGCCGCGGCTTGACCCAAGTGACTTCGCACCGTGCAGTATCTGTCTGGCCTTTGCCACTCGAGTCATCGTTGCAAAAACATGCGCGCTGGGCCGTGGGGCCGCCACGTCACGCCGGAACCGAATAGCCACCCGTGGCGCGAAAAAAATAGTGCCCTTGCATCTTGGATGGCATTGCCTTGTCCGGCAACTGCGCCACCCACGGCCACCCGCGTCGCACGCTGTGGTAACACCTCTACGACGTCAGAACAGGTCGCACATTGCCTTTCTGCGAGCACAGGCATCCAAAAGCTTAACCGAGAGCCGTGTTGCAAAGACTATTACTGCGATAAATACCATGGCGTACGTCGATGACGAGCCGCACAGCCTACTCCTGTACTGTCGACACCTTGTACGCCGAGACATATGATAGGTCCAGGCCCGTGCCGCGGGGGCGACGGTGGTCCTGGGGCGTGAACCAGCCGCTGTCGGCGGCGGCGTGCCCTCGGGTGGCATGGCGGCAGGTTTGTGGCGACCGCGCGTCGCCTGCCGACCCCACAGTCGACGCCAAGTCGGATACGACGCGCGACGGCCGCGTCGCTGGGCGAGGGGCGCGCGGGTGTCGGCAGATGACGCACACGGGGGCGACGTCTGCATTGCGGCAGCGGACACATAGAGGCTTGCGGCACGCTGTGCACGGTACCAGCCGCGGCCCGAGCTCAAAGATTGCGGGCTTTACATGGCAGAGGCCGCATCGGTCCCGCAGCCGCTTGCGAAGAAGCGCGGGAAGCTGCTTGATGCTCTGGGCGCGGCGCGACGTCATGTGGGAGGCGCCCCACGCAGGCATTTGGCCCTTCCAGTCAATGTCGACGATCGTGCTGGCGTAGATAACCTTGGTATCGGACGACTCGAGGAGCACGAGGCCCCAGTTGCGCACGTCGGCGCGAATGTAGCCAGACCGGTAGTCCATAGCGCGCAGGGGGTACGACGTGATGAAGCGCGCAAACCCCCTTCGGCCACGGCGGTCCAGAAACAGCTGCGAGCTTTCGAGGTAGCACGCGTCGCGGTCGCGCACGAACGGAATTGGCGACCGGAAGACGCCCCACTTGAGCGCCACCTTGGCGGTCGCGGTCGTGGTTTCATACAGGACCCGCGCGTTGTCGACGCCGAGGTACGACGACGGCGCCTTGTAAAGCTCGACGATGTCGTCGAGGTCGTGGTAGCGCTCGAACACGAGCTGCTGCCGGCACACCTCGGAGGCCCACGTTGGCGACCGCGGCACGTGGCTGTTGGGCGGGAGGCCGTCGGCCCACGCCACGAGGTCCTCGAGGCCGGTGGTCGCTCGTTCCAAGAGGCGTGTGCGCTCGGCGGCGTCCAAGTCGACTGACATTCACGTGCTTCGGACAAAGATAAAAACTGGGGCTGTCGAGCGCCGCAGGCTCAAACCCATCCAACCGAAGACTACAGTACTGCGTATCATAGCGTTTTAGCAGCAAGTATTCGGTGACGCCAAAGAAGCCAGCGCTCCATACGAAGCGGCGGTCGGTCGCTTCACTCTATCGCATCGAGCAGCCAATGGTTTGGTCGATTCGACCTCCCGCTCGATGGCCAAACGGTGGGAACTGTCGTCGACGACGGCATCAAGCGGGCGTCCTTGCACCCGGCAAGCAATCTTTGTTCGCGTTTGTCGTCGTCAAGCAGCATGCGAAGGAGAATGGTAGCCAGCTGCATCCTGCGTTCTATGAGGTACTTGAGGTTGTTACTTCGGCGCAGCATAATTCAAGCCATACCTTGATGCGACGTGATAGAATCGTGGGGCTTGCTGTGCAGTGTGCTGCGCGCTGGGTGAAGTGAGACCGCGACTCTGGCGGGCGTGGGACGCGCGCGTAAATCTGAGAGATATCACCCGACACTCTCGCACCTAGTCCAACACTCATACCGATTCGACAACAGATGTTGCAACAGAAGTTCAAGGGTGAGATCTGGCGTTGCGATTATTGTCGACTTGTGCACTGTAGGAGCAAAGGACGACCACACTCTCACGCTGCATTGCGCTGACCACACGCTACGATCAGAAAAGCGGGAGCGTTGGCACCCAGGCTGTAACCACACCCAATTGCCGGCGGCGAGGAGTCTGGTCGGAGGAATTAGATAATGACGAGTATACTAGTATACTAGTACATGTTGACAAGGGTTGATTTAGGTCTCAGACGCTGGCTTGGCTATGCTGAGCTGCCAACGACTTCTGGATCTCGGCCACCAGCCGTCGCTGGTACTCGAGGGACGCCATGAACGACGGATCAACGCCCGCCGTGTTCGTCGGGGCGACCGCGCTACTTGCCGAGACGTGTGCCAGGGCTTCTTGGACGACTTGGTTGGTCATGGCTGTATCACCGTCTACAAGACGCATCAATCATCTGATTTCTGATGTACAATGACGTACGCCAGCCACGGTAGCTCTCGAGGAGCAGCGAGATGTCCGAGAGCGGTGAGTCGGATGCAAAGCCATTCGCGTCATAGTCTTGAAGAGTCAGCGCGACGTCCATCGACTCTTGCGTGCTCGAGCCTACAACAATCTAAGTTTCCGTGGTTGCGTGCACGTAGACTACGTACTTGTGCGCCGCGTCTCGTCGTCGGGGCTCTTCCAGCTGATGTTTGTCTGCGACGGTAGCCGCGACGCTGTAAAGCACGCTTTGCAATACGCCGCCTTTTCAATCGGGTGGCTTGAATCGGACGTCACGGATCGAGCGATCGCGACGGGCTGCGGGACGACAACGGTGCACTTTTTACACGCCACCTAAGAGCCACCTCGGTCAGTACGAATGCAACGCAACACATTTGTACGTGGCCACAGAAGCGGCAGCTTCGCCACCGCTTGCACTGCGTTGAGCATACGTGACACGGCTGGGACGACCTACAGCAAAATTCCGCCGTCAGCCTATTGTTGCGTGGGAGAGAGTTGTACGCAGGATCACGGGCCCGGTGTTGCGGGGCCGGAGGCGCCTCCACGAGTCGACGGAGGCGAGCGATATCGGAGAACGTTGCGGCGTTGAGCGCGTGCTTTTGCGCCGTTCGCTTGTTGAAGAACCACGGAGGGATCTTGCCTTGGGGATTGAGGTGGCCCACGATGCTAAACTGAACGCGGCCACTCGGGAGCTCGGAGAAGACCCACCCCATCTCGTACGTGAAGCGCACGACGTTGTGCAGCGGCGGAAAGGCGTCCGCCTCGATCGAGTGGCGGACTTGGTACAGCGTTCGCACGCCGTCCTCGACCGTCGTGCCCGAGAGCTAGACAAGATGAGTGGTGCAATCGGCGATGGCGGAAGCGCACCTCGGCGTAGACCGTGTCGCGCGGCTGGAACATGGCGTGGAGCTGCAGCCGCGCGTACTTGATGCCAAACCACCGGAACGGGTCCTGGAGAGTCTTGGTGTCGGCGACTTGGAGCACCGCGCCGTCGAGGAAGCTGTGCTTGTAGAGCAACGCCTGCACCGTGCGGTGGGCCTGCGTCGTCGACGCGTAGAGCCCCTCGGCGATCTCGTCGAGCGACGCGTCGCAGTGTCCGAGGATGACAAACTCCATGAAAGATGAGTTGGGGCAGGTGCGTTGGAAGGCCTGGAAGCCGTGCTTGGTCATCGTGAGCTTGTAGCCCTGGCTATTGAGGTACGTTGGGTGGCGGCGCTGGTTCTGGGCCGTCGCCGTCGCGCGCGCCGCGATCGCTTGCGTTGACGAGCGGTGGAGCGCGAGGTCGGTGGCCGGGAGCGGAAGGAAGGCGTCCATGCTGATTCGAAACTGGTGCTCTGTCGTGCGATGTTGCCACTGGCTCCGTATACACACGGGACAAGGTATGCGACACTCAATCTGTCGTGGCTTTAAACAGCACCACGGAAGTCGACCAGCTGGCGGCCTCAAGTAGGTGCTCAATAGCAATTGAACTTGGAATACCTGGGACGCCTAGGAGGTTCGGTGTGGGGTTCGCGCCATTTTCCAAACATCCTGTCTTCGCCCTCGCCAAGTGTCGTGCAAACTGTTGCAGGCAGTAGATAGCACTAATGCGTTCGGCGACCTTCGATGCCTTGACGTTCTGATAATACTTGCGCACCGGGCGACATGGTTTGCGTGGCCGCACAGGCACCGGTCGTGCCACCTGTTCCGGGTTGAAAAGGCGCGTTGGAGCGTTGAAGTCTTGCTCTCAATTGATGAAACCGGTGTCGTCGTCTCGCACGTTGTGACCAGCAGTTCGGTACGTCGGTGGGATGTAAAGAACACACTCTTTTTGAGGGCTTCGCCAGGCCTCTGGAGTAGCTACTCCGTTCGCGAAGACTCTTTGCGTCACATTCGAAGCGTAAATGTATACTAGTAGTCCTATTTCTGCTGAAATGCGCAGACTGACACGACGATATGAATGATTGCCACTGGTCCTGTTGTGGCAATATAATTCCTGTGCGAAGCCCCAACGGATCCAATCAAACACGTCCGTTGGTGACGACGCGGTGACGAGGAAGCATCCCATGTTGACCTTCAAGAGTATCTTTCCTGCTTGTGCTCTCCATTATCATTGCCATTGCGTAAACATCACCGAGTTCTTTTACGCCAAAATGACAGACAGAGAATCGCAGAGCGCTCGTTGACTTGGTCACAAAGCTCGTGACGTTCGCTGCATCTACGTCATGGGCTCGTCACCAGGCGGCAGTGACGACGACGCGCACGTCACGTATGCGTCCGCGCCAGTCAAGTCGCCCTGGCTCGATTGCCCGTTGATGCGATTATCGGACGACGGAATGGTGAGCACAGTGATTGCTTGGATCTAGTAAGCGCCCACGTGTAAACGAGAGCAAAATGCTTTTATAAAAAATAAATAAAAACAAAATAGAATCGACCGTGATGGGACTCGAACCCACAACCCCCTGATTAGAAGTCAGATGCGCTATCCATTGCGCCACACAGTCCCACTTGGCAACGAGGATATTTTTAAAGTACAATAGCGTTAGGAATTTTTTGCAACTTTTGTTCGTGTATGCTCTCAAATTGAAATTAGGTTTTTTCTTTTGAGCGCAGAGAGAGTCATAGCAGCTTTTTCGTTGAGGACCAGCGCCTTTCTGCACAGGATGTCTATTATTGTCTATTGCACAGTGGACAACTGCTGTCCGCGTTTCGACTAGCCTGTGCGCAGGACGATTGGTGGTCTGGTTGAAGTTCGGGCCTGATTTGGCGGGAATGACTAGGACTGCGTTGGCGAAAGCCTAATTAGAGCCGGTGGTCATAGCGCATTCTGCAAGATGAACCTAGATACGCTCAACGCGACGCTGCCCGCCGACGCGCGCGTCCGCTGCGTCGAGCACCCGGTCTTTGGCGTCTCGCTTGTCGCGACCGAGGCCATCGCTGTCGGCGACCTCGTCTGGGCCGAGGAGGCGGCGCTTGTGCGGCCCGGCTCGTCGCTCCTCGACTACGTCAAGCTCTTGCGCGCCCACGACGCCTCGGCGCTCGCGGCGATCCTCTCGCAGTTCATGACGCTCTCGTCTGCGGCCATCGACTCGGACCCGCTCTTTGGCACCATCAAGACGTACTGCGACGCGCTCAAGAAGGCTGACCGCACGCTCGTGTGCCAGCTCGTCTCGGCCTTTGAGGTCAACGGCCATGGCCTCAACGGCGAGATTGCAGGCCTCTTCTCCATCGCGTCCAAAGCCGCGCACTCGTGCAGCCCCAACGTCGTGTACCGGCCCGTGGGCGTTCAGGGCATGGCCTACACGGCCATCAAGCCGATCCCTGCCGGCAGCCTCATCTTGTACTCGTACATTGCGCGCGAGAAGCTCGGGTACCCGAGCCACGTACGCCAGGCCTTTCTGCAGCAAGCCTACTACTTTACGTGTGGCTGCGACCGCTGCAGCGCGCCCGACGACATGCGCCCGCTGCCGTGTCCCGCCTGCGCCGCGCCGACGCTGCTCTACAACCCGGTGACGCTGCAGTGGGTCTGCACAAGCTGCGCGGTCGTGACGCCCGAGGCGGCGCTCGGCGACGCCGTCGCCGTCGAAGAAGCGATCGAGAACCAAGTGCTGGCCTTCGATATCGACCCTGCCACGGCGACGCCCGACGGCGTCCGCCACGTTCTCACGATGCTCGAGGCGCTCGCTGCGCCCAACCACTGGGCGGCCATCTACCTCTGGCGCATCCTCGTCGAGATGTCGCTGCCGCCATCCACCGAGCACATGGCGCCGCCGCTGCCCATGGCCAAGGTCCAGGCCGTGACCATGCGCATCGCACGCTGGTGCGACGACGTTCTCGCAACGTACAACCCCGTCTCGGCGGCAATGCTCATCTTCACGTACCGGTCCGTGCTCTACAAGCTCTGCGACCGCGAACCCCAAGTGCTGGCACTGCTCACGCGCCTATACCCATACTTCCGCCTCAACTTTGGCGCCAACGACGAAGACGTGGTCGAGTGGCGCGCGCTTGTGCTGACGAATGACGTGGCAACTGCCGAGCTCTCGCACTGCGCGGGGTGTGCGGCGCCTCGCACGGGCGCGCTCGCATGCGCGCGCTGCAAGTGCGTTGCGTACTGCTCCAAGGCGTGCCAGGTGCGCGACTGGAAGGAGGGCGGCCACAAGGCGGCGTGCCGCCAGCTCTCGGCGCAGTGTTACATCGTGTCATAATCCAACTAACTAGACGGTGAGAAACACGTTGCGGCGGTGGAGGAGCAGCGCAATGCCGACCCAACTAGAGACGACCGTATGAACGAGCAGTAGGACGCAGTCGTACCTGATGGCGCCGAGGAGGGCCGAGAGCATCGAGAGCGTGTGCGTTGGCTCGATATCGTGTTTGAAGCCAAAGGGAAAGTGGTCCTGGAGCAGTTCGTGCTAGTAAACGTCCGTGAAAATTCTCAAAAACCCCGAAAATTCCACGTACGCCGAGGTAGAGCACGATGGGGTTCATGCCTGCTTGGACGAACGGCGCGCCCGTCCAAAGCTTGAACGTGTCGACAGCGAGAAAGAGGTAGAGCAACAGGAGACTCGCGAGGCTCGACGTCCCGAGCACGAACGAGAGGCTCCAGAGGTTCTTGTTGATCGGCACCCAGCCGTCGTTGAGCCGCCCTTGCGAGAGCACGAGCGCGCCGAGACCGAGACCGAGGCCAAGGAGCGCGAGGCGAAGCGCTCGCTGCGAGTAAGCAAGCGACGCGTCGGCGAGAAAAGCCGTCGCGACTTGCAATCCGAGAAAGGTTGTACTGGCCACCATGAGCCAGTTGAGCGCGCCTTCCGGGTCGAACGCGCCGGTCAAGTACACGTCCTTGGTCGTCGGGTTCTGGAAGATGTGGGCGTCGCCAAAGAGGAAGAGGTCCACGGCCTTGTGGGCGCCGCCCGTGCAGTTGGGGTAGAGGCCATCCTCGCCAATGCCACCAGCACCGAGGTACCCGGTCGGACAGCCGCGCACCGGCAACAGAAAGACGAGGCCGCACTGAAGAGCAACAAGCAGCAGCATGAGTAGCCACTGCAAGAGGATCTGGCGCCGGCGATCGGTCGAGAGCGACGACGAGAGCAGCAGCACCATGGCCACGAGCCAGTACGCAACGCCAAACGACTGCAGCACCCCTAGCCACGGTACAAATGTATCAAGTTGATGCTAAAATGGAAATTGTGTACCGGGAATGCGCCAATGGGCGAGGTCAAAACCATTGTTGAGAAACAAACCGAGCGCAAAGAGCTTGACACTGCGCAGCGTCACGGTGCGCGCAAAGGTCGCGGGGGCCCCGAGCTTCTTGACGAGCCCGATCGCCATGGTGGCGCCCATGATCCACGCAAACCTAGTGAAAATGCATTTTCCTCCAGTTGCTAGTCGGATGTACCAGGGAAAGCAGAGGTCGGCGACCGTGAGACCGTTCCACGTGCTGTGGTTGAAGAACCAGTAGTCGCCGCCGCCATAGTTGACAAAGATCATGGTGAAGATCGTGATTCCGCGGAAGACGTCGAGGCAGACGACGCGGGGCGGCTTCACTATGGGCCGCGCCGGCTCAAGCAGCGGCTGCTTGTCGTCGTTGTCGTCGTCGTCTTCGTCGCTACAATGCATGAGCGCACAGAGACGAGATGTTACAAACCGCAGAGAGGCGAGGTGTTTGGCCCAGAAGAATCGGACAGGACCGCTGACGATCCACAGGCTGAGAAGGCCCAAGAGAAACGGGAGCACGAGCGACGTCTCTCCTTCCTGCACGAGCTCGATGGACGCGTGGACGTCGCCAGAGTCGACTTGCTGCCCGAGCATCGAGTACGAGCCGTATTCGCTAAAGTGGTACCGACTGCGCCAGACCTACGCGTTGCATGAGGGAGGCGCCATCACCGTTGCCTGCCCGTACCGAGCGGTTGTCGCCGTGGAGCTCCAAGCTCATGGGAAACTTGGCGTCGACGTGAAACGTGTAGTTGGTGTTGGGCGAGAGCGAGATGCACGACGCGTTGGTCGGTGCGCATCCTACGGGACGCAGCGGCAGCGGTGTGCACTACGTCGCCACCTCGTTGGCGCTTGGTCGCAGGAAGCTGCCTACCTTGTAGCAGTCGTCGGACGCCCAGAGAAGCTCGAGGCCATCGGCGTTCGCTGCGCTCGCCTCGGTGTAGCGGAACGCGAGGCTGGCTTGGTTCATCTTCGCCCGTCAAGAAGGAAAGTGTGGCCTGATGATGCGCCGACCAAGATCGCACGAGAAGGCCATTGGCTAAAATACTGACATGGGTCCACCAGCTGATTGGGTGAATTCCTTGAACTTGCGCTGGATTGGACAAAAAAGAATCCATCCATCGACGCTCACCTGCAGCGCCACTCGCAAGCGCCCCGGTCTTCCAAGTAGACTACAGAGAAAGTAAGGCGTGTGCGCTCCTCATCGGCGCTTCAGTTGCGTTAACATCCCAAGTTGGGTGGGAATAGCGCTGGCCTAACGTCCATTTCCAATTTGGGGCGCATTGATTGGCTACTTTTATGCTGTTCGTGGATTGGTTTAAACAATGACATTTTGGGATTGGCTGAAACACGTCGCTACTTGCAGTGGCGGGATTACAATACGGCGACTGGATTGGTTGAAATGCAAGTTATTCCGGCGTTTCATTGGTGCAACCGCACACCTAGGGCTGTGATTGGCCGACACGACGATCTTGAACCGACGTCAAATTTTTGTGGCATTCGATAATTATCTCTGGCGATGCTTGGCAGCGCGATGGCGACGCTGAGCGCCGTCTGGCAGACCGCCCCGCTGCGCGCAGCCCACAAGGCGGCACCATCGAGGCCGACGGAGCCGCTCGCCACCCGGCGCGAGGCCACCGCGCACGTCTACACGCAGCAGCTCTGCGCTTCCTTCCGGCGGCAGTGCTCGGGCATTGCGCTAGCGACCAGCGTACTTCCATGCGCTCAACGCCATTCGCTCACAGCATCTCTCGTGTCTAGAACCGGTATCGCGCTGTGGCGCAACGTGTCGGCTTGGCGCTGCGCTATCGAGCCCTTCTCGGGTACGCGGCCCCGAGCTCGGCGCACGAGACAGCATTTGACGATATTGCGTACGTGGCCCAGTTACCGAATGATGCTTGAGGAATAGTCTAGGTCGCGGTATAAGGCGCTACAGACACGTCTCGAGGCGGCGGCGACCATCGACTGTTGGGAGGCTATCGACCTGCACGTCCAAGAGGCCAAGGCCATGGGTGATAGCCTTGTGAACGAGCTGGACGAACTCTTGCGGCGCGTTCGAGCCGACACGAGTGCCTGTCTCGCGGCCCGATCGGTCAAGCGACTCTTGCTTCACGAGCTGCCAGCGTGCTTTGTCAGTGTCTTTTCCTACCTCGGCACGGCGGATCTCGCGACTTGCCACGCCGTGTGCGCCGCGTGGCACCTCGTTTTGAGCTGCGACGGGACACTCTCATACGCGATGACGACACCTGCGATGCGCTGGCGCTACTGGCGGCACTTTGCGCCATCTGCAGGTAGCTCCACTGCCCTTCTACTCGTCTCACAACGCCATTTTAGCGCTAGACTATAAAGCATTTGTACAGCCCAGTGCGCACGATGAGCTCATGGCCAAAGAGGTCGCACGCACAACGTTCTACCCGAAAGAGCTGCTGTACCCAACGACCAAGCCGCACGGCTACCTCTACCGGCTCGGTTCGTCCACGCACCTCTCGAGCTCGCCCCTACTGCTGGAGCTCCACGCCAAGCTCATGGATGTCTTCCGCGCCTACGCTTGCTTCAGTCCGCACACGGGCTACGGCCATGGCATGACGCTCGTCGCATCGTCGCTGCTCACGTGCCTCGGGTACGACACGAGCACAACCTTTGTCACTTGGACGCTGCTCATGGAGCACCGCCTCATGGGCAGTTTCTGGGACGGCGCGTCGCAGCGGTTTGGCCACGGCCTCGAGTACCGGCTGCATGAGCTCACGTACTGCATGTACCGGTACCTCCCGGAGTTATCGCGCGTGCTGCAGACACGCGGCATCTCGACAGCGATGTTTGCGACCAGCTGGATTCTGTCGCTCTTTCTGAACGAGCGGTCGCTGCCACCGGCGGTCTGCGCCCACATACTCGACGCGTTCATTCGCGAAGGCTGGAGCAGCATGTTTGCTTTGTACATGGGACTCTTCCTCCTCCACGACATTCCAGCCTCCGACGACACGTCGACCATCCTGCGCTGCATCTTGGCGCTGCCACGGCACCTCGGCGAACACGGCCTCGGACGCTACCGGTATGCAGCGTACACGACGCTGTCACCGCCGCTCACGGCGCTCTTGGCGTCGTACGAGGCCGACGTGCCCCCGAGTTTGTAAGAACCCTAACCCTATTTATTAGCTTGTACAGCTTAACCTCTTAACATGGTCTCAATCGCGTCCATCGCTTCCTTGCGCTTGTGCGTGCGCGCCCGCTTCAGAAGTCCGTCGAGGAGGTCGGCGAGACACCGCCGATAGCGCCGCCTTGTGGCTTGTAGGACGGCGGCGCACATGGGCGACTCGCGCCACGATGGCGTCTCAAACGTGGCAAGCGGTCGCCGCGCAAAGGCGGGCCACTCGTCAAAGAGCGGGATCCGGCTGGCGTGGAAGAGGCAGAGTCGCTGGACGCTCAGCCGCGCGTACGCCTGCGTTTCGAGGCGGTGCAGAATGTCCATCGTCGACACCTCGGGCGCAATCGCCTGGATGAGCTTGAAGCTCGTCTCGACGCCAATGATAGCCCCCGTCGTAGCACATACCAAAAGCACGAGTTCGTCGACGAGGTTCGCGCGGTTGGCATGCGCCATCGTCCACGTCTCGGCGTCGTTGAGAACCCAGACGTTCTCGAGGGCAATGCGCGTGCACTTGCGCGTGAGGTTTGCGAGCGCTATGCGCCAGCTACCGGGCTTGCGACTCTGATATTCGGCCATGAGCTGCGCGTCGATCGTGCCAGTTGGAGCCCAGCGAGCGGCAGCCATGAGCTTCCACGCGCTCTCGTCTGACGCCAGCGCGTCATGCCACGCCCGGTTCAGTGCCAAGAGGGCGCTCCACCCCCCCATGCGCAGGTACGGCAGCAGGTGGTGCACGAGGGGACGCTTGGTCGCATTGCCGCCGATAGGTAGAAACGTCGACGAGAGCGTTCGCGCTTGCTGCATAGCGGGGTCGAGTCGGTATTTGGTGTGTTGCTGCGACGCCTGGTTGGAGGGTCGGACCTCAAACTGCACAGCGGGGCTCGGCCGCGGGCGGCGAGGGCGCGTCATCGCCGGTGGCTTCAACGCGCTGGCGTGGTGAACCTTGGGGGGCGGGAATGACGTAACCGGAGGTTGCAAGCAGTGCGACGTGAGCACGAGGTTCGCTTCGGCTGGAGATGGCACGTGTCCCCGCGGCTTTGCCGTCGCAGGCGCAAAAGAGGATGTCCCTGCGCGCTCTGTCAGTGGTATTCGTCCTATAGAGCAGCTACCAGAGGGCTTTGGGCGTCGCGGCAGCGGCGTTTTGGTCGCGCGAGGTGTCTCGGTGGCGCTACAGTAGTATTAGCCTAGACCAAAAGTCGATTTCAAAGACAACTTGTTGTTGTCCATATGGTTGGACACGTGGATTTGGCAGTGTTGGGCGCGGACTTGGCACTCGACAGAGCAGAAAAAGACTGTATCCTTGTTGGCGGGCGGGCGAGGACACACCTACGAGGCGCTTCCAGCACCAGCGTTTGCCGGTGCATCTACCTTGGCGCAGATCCAGCACGCCGCCAAAGGTTGTGTCTTCTTGACGCGCTTCTGCTTGCGGGACGGCGGAGCGATCGTCGGCAGCGAGACGTCGGTGGGGATCATGCGTGGCTCGGACGGGAGCTGCGTCTCAACATGACGCCGATGGAGGCTGGCGACCTCCCGCACGAACGCTTTCCAGGACGAGTCGACCAGCGAGATGCGAAAGAGCTGGCGGAGATGCAGATCGCTCAGCCCCAAGTGCGCGCCAAGGAGCTGCGTGCCGTTGACACCACTCTCCCCGGCGAGGCGTGCGAGCTCTAAGAACTGCAAGTGCTCGAGCCACGCGACAACGTCGACCGTGTTCCATTCGCTTGTGGGTCGCCGAAGCAGCGCGTTCATTGATCGCTTTGGCACACCCGACGGTCGCGGCTTCTCGGTTGGGAGCACGGGGACCGGTGGCGCCGACGTCGGTGGCGTCTTTGCTGCTCGCTTCCAGTGCGTCCCGGTCTTCTTGGTCGGTTTGTTTGCGCGCTCCCAGTTGACCTTCTCGGTCTCCATCGTGAGCTTCACCTCGAGGAGCCGCGTCTCCATCGCGAAGATCTCGCGCTCGAGCTCGTCCGCCATGGCCGTTGGCGACTGGTAAATTTAGCAAGAAGTTTCGCAGGCGGCAGTCGTATGCGCGACAACTTGTACAGACGAGCAACTCTTTCGAGTACGTGGCGCGTCGACAGGAGACACAGTGTCATCAACATATGAAAACTTATTGGATGTTTCAAGTCCACCTCTCGTATATCAAGTTAAATGAGGTCTGTGATACCAAGTACCTTTGGGCACGCTGTGATTTCAACCAAGGACAGAATCGACACGCTCGGGTCGAACGCTGCGTGGTTGCCGTCGATGACGGCGACGTGTCCGGCCATATTCTCAATGGGAAAGACGAGGCCCCAGTCCACGAAACCGAGCACGTGGAACTCACCGTAGACGAGACACACGAGGCCGTCGGCGGCAAGATTCCCTGCCTCGCAGCGTTGCGTCACTGGCAGCTTGGCGCGCGTGATCTGGCGCGCAATGCTTGGCGGCACCGAGAACGTCGAGTCGCGAAGGATCGCTTCGAGATGCGGCGCGACGTCCAAGCTGCACTCGATGCGGATGGCCCCGCGCCGCTCGACGGGCGAGAGGAGGTACGCCGAGATGCTGCCCGTTTGCGTCGTGCACCGCCAGACGGCCGAGAGCACGAAAATCACGAGTGGCGACACGAGGGTGAAGACGCCAAAGAGGCGCCAGTAGAGTGAAAGGCTGTTGAGCTGGTTCGTGTAGACGTTGTAGATCGAGTTGGTGTAGTGATGCACGACGACGCCGGTCCAGCGGTAGCCCTGGAAGAGACCCATGCCTCGGTTAGTGACGTACATGGGGATGTAGATCCACACCACCGGGGCGCCAAGGAGAAAGATGTTTTCCGAGACGGCAAACGCTTTCGAGGGGCCAAAGAAAGCGCCAACGAGCCGCGAGGAGACGAGCAGCAGCAGCGCGCACGGCCAGACGATGCGCATGATCGACATGTAGATGAGGAGGAGAGACCCATACGACGAGCCGTTGGTGTAGACTGTGTACTGGCAGTACACGACAATGTCTTCCACGCTCGTGACGGCTTCGAGAGAGAGAAGCAAGAGGATGAAGAGATTGTGGCGCTCTCGCTTGTGCAAGACAAGGCCCAAGTGACGCTGCCAGATCCACGCCAAGAACGGCTGGTGCTGGCGCCGAAACGCGAGCCAAATCGGACAGTAGATCGACGACACCCGAAAGTAGATGACGATTCCCAAAATGCAGAGGCGAAAGACGTCCTTGTACTGGAGTCGGATGAGGTTTTGGTCGCCGTCGGTCAAATGGCTGGTCGACACGTGGAAAAGCGAGTCGCGCAGTGTGATGACGTTGCCGTTGGCGGTGCGTGTGGTGCGGGCTACCCACGGACTCACCGTGTCGCCGTACCACGCTGATGTTGTGATTTGGCTCGCGGTGCCGCCGACGCGCAAGGTGGCCGAGCATCCAGTGAGCGAGCTGATGCTAAACGCGGGCGTCTCAACCGTCAACGGAATACTTGTAAAGGCAGGCGCGCCAGACGTGTTGGCGACAAGCACCTCTTGGATCCCAGACGTCACATTCAGAATGTAGAAACCACCAAACTCCTTGCACCACTTGGTGGTCTCGGTTTGGCTCACGCGGTAGTTGATGACGCGGCCGTTGGCTGTCGTCATCGTGTCGCAAGCAAAGCTGTCGCCTTCGCCAAGCATCTCCAGGCACGTTCGGTCGACAGAGCTCGTCTGCACCGACCACTGCGTCGAGACAAATCGAGCGCCGTCGGGGATGTCGATGCGCTCGCCGGACAGCAGTGTGCAGTTGCCAAAGAAGTTACCAACGTGCTGCGTGGGAGCCTTGTCGATGGGGTAGTACGATCGGCAGGTGGCGCCCGCGAGCGACCCGGTGCCGTACACTGGTAGCTCAAAGTAGCAGTCGAGGAACGGTCCATTCGGTGAGCAGACTTTGGACGAGATATTGTTGAAGGTATTCTCGACCGTGAGCTCGGGGGAGAAGCGATTGAACGATGTATCCGCGGACGAGTAGTAGCCGTAAAGAGTTTTGAGCGGATCCAGGAGCGAGTTGAGAGTCAGTAACGACCAGAGTAGGAAGCGGACCCGATTGAGCATTGGGTGGAGTCGTGCCACGCTGCCATCGATGACTGGTAACATCGCCACCTTGCAGCGGAAATTGTGACGGACTCGGTGGTCCTACAGCGCCACTTCGAATCCGGGCAGCGCGATATGTGGATGAGCAACTGGTTCCAGTTGTCTTTCTCAAAATACCTCTGCGAAACGGTGCATTTCGCGCCAGAACCGAAATGCAAAACGAGGTTGCCAAGGCGAATGACCGCGCCACGGCGGCGCCGACGACGCGGGAAGTACGCGACGTGCATCTGCAGCCGCTCGCGATCGCAGCGTTTATCGCGTGGCTCGCTATCACCGTCAACTCGTTATTGGACCCGATCAAAACACTGTACGGGTACTATATCTACATGGACAGCTACAACCAGTACGTCGTGTGGCAGCTCACGATCGAGAATACCTTCAACAATATCTCGTCCAAAATCTGCTCACCGAATGGACCGTTCCTCGACTGCTACTTTGAGCTACCAGTGTACGGCACCGGGTCGCTCGCGGGCGCCACCTGCCGATCGTACTACCCCATCGACAAGGCTCCCACGCAGCACGTTGGCAACTTCTTTGGCAACTGCACGCTGCCGTCCGGCGAGCGCATCGACATCCCCGACGGCGTTCGATTTGTCTCGACGCAGTGGTCGGTGCAGACGAGCTCTGTCGACCGGACGTGCCTGGAGATGCTTGGCGAAGGCGACAGCTTTGCGTGCGACGCTTACACCACAATGAATGGCCGCGTCATCAACCACCGTGTGAGCCAAACCGAGACGACCAAGTGGTGCAAGGAGTT